CCAATTTGGATTCGTGCTGCTGGGACGCTTAAAACAATGCCAATGATTTTGATTGAGTCTGAATTCCCTTTTCATAGATCCTCTCTTTGCATTAGGGGTGAGCAGCGGGATGATACCGATTTCGCCAAAACGATCAAATTCGAACTGATCCGCCGCATTATTGGGCGGATGCGTGATGGACAAGCGGACGGTTGCGGATTGACTTTCTCCAATCCACCAATCTGGCAGCGACTGGTGGATTTGGATTCTTTGGCCGCAACCGAACCGTCAACACCGCAAACACCCCTAGTAATCTTATAAGACTTTGTGTTTTTCAAATTTGTTTTAATATTCCTGTTACGTTTTCAATTAAAAAGAGTTTAAATATTTGTGAAAAAGTTTTCACTTGAATTTTTTTTTTTAATTGAAAAAAATTAACGTAATTATTTATCTATATTTTTTGGTTTTTTAAATCTATCTCTAAAAATAATAAATAGAACATGATATATGCTGGTTGGTTTTGTTTTCAAAACAGATATAGATGTAACATACAGAGATATACATTCTACTACTGTTTCTGTTTCATGTTTTGGTGGTTTTTGAATTGTTTTCTTATATTTTAAGAACCACAGATTTGTAATACTTTATGTGGATGAGGTAGCTGTGATTGTAGTATATGGATTGATGCATGCAGTGATTCGTGATATTCCTAAAGTTTAAACTTTTTTGCTTTGGATGAGGCATGCAGTGATTGTAACAATTTTTTTAAGTCATTAACTGTAATATTCTTTTCTTTTTTTTTTCTTTTTTTTTTTTTTTTGAGGAAGTGCACAAGTTGAATTATGTTGAAATTATAAATTTTAAAGGCCGCAAACCTATTAGCATCCATCGCCAAACGCGCTAATCGTTTTAATCCACATCGCCGGATAGTGTGACGGATGCCGGATTGATTTTCTCCAATCTGCAATCTTGCGGAGAGGATGGGCGGATTAGGGGTTTCGTGGCGCGCAACGACCGCGCCCACCCTACTTTGCATTATAATTGAACTTTAGTTTGATATTTCAAATAGGAAAAAAGTAACAAAGGAGAAAACAAAGATACATTCTACAAAATCAGTTTTCCAAATTTAACTCCAATTTGCACAAGCAGAGCAAACATCAAAATTCAAGGACAGTGTTATTCATTATAATAATGAAGGAAGAATGCAATCCAAATAAAAGACACCCAATAGCAAAATCCCATCAAAAAGACAGTTACATAGTTTAATCCAAACAGCACAAATAAAACCGTAAAGGGGCATTTTCTCAGAAAAGAGCATCGTGCGGTAATATAAATGAATGCAAAAAGGACGTAACTTTTAGGTTTGTATCTGGCTTTGAAACGAAAGGGAGGTTGCTTACTAATTCTTTCAAGAAAAATAGGCTTAAAATTAGATTTTGATTAGTTTAGATATGGGTTTTATGATTGAATTGAGAGCTTTGTCCACAATGGAATTTGAAATATCATCCAAAATAAAAGTTAGTTATTTCAACTTTTTTTCACACCTAAAATTGGTGTTTGAATCAAACATTTGAGTGGAGATTTCAGGAGGGAAGGAAAAAGAAATGGGAAAAAGTATTAAAATTATTCCCTCACAAATCCATTCTCAAATTCTCTGGATCCAAAAAACAGGCCTGCGTGTTCTAGTTCTACAGATCCAAATACATTACTTCTCTTTCTCTTTTTAATTTATCTTCCTAGTTTTTTTTCTCAATCGACCTATAATAAGTTTAACCTCCTAACAACATCAATTTCTTTATTTGAATCCATCCATCCAAGACAGTTGTGTAGATCCTATATTAAAAGTAATAAAAGAACTTTCAAATCAAGCAGCCAATAAAAAAATAATTCTTTTATATTTTTTTCCGCAAGTGCAGTACAAACCTTAATCAAGGTTGATCATACAAAACAGAACATATTAGAAATTAAGAACAGAATGAAAGCATATATCTGCATTGATCAGAGACCAAGAAATCAATAAACTGAATCCAAATAATTAACTGTTAGTAGTACTCTCAGAAAAACTACTGGAAAGTTGTTGAATCTGATTCTACCCAGAAAGTTTTGAGATCTGGGTTTTGAGAAGAAAGAAGAAGAAGGGCTTTGGTGAAAAGTGAATAATTTATGAAATATGAATGTCTTTCTAAAATATATATCTATCTACACCAAACGCACACACAGGCTTTGGGGAGAGAGTTTGGAGAGTCGTCTCTCTCTCTCTATCTCTCCCAGCGCACTATTTTGACACGCAGGTCAATCGGCTTAGCGGCAGCCCATTCTCTCTCTCATTCGTTGATTTGTCATCGTGACATGTGTTGTTTTTTGGCATAATTGCAAAGAATGCGGATTGATTTTCTTCAATCCGCCAATCTGGCGGACGGATGGCGGATTGGAGGTTTCGTGGCCGCAACCGACCCGCGTCCACCCCTATGTGATCCGCTCGCCCCAACGTCCCTCCGCGACTGTTTGCCGGCCTTAATTTATGTTTCCTATTTTGAAGTTGTAATCATTTTTTCGATTAAAAATTACTCGTCAGGACAATATATAAACGGGGTAAACTATACTTTATTTTCTTTATGTTTCTATTTTGAAGTTGTAATATCATTTTTTGAATTGAAAATTACTCAACAGGACTATATATAAATAGGGGTAAACTACACTTTGTTTTCTTTATGTTTGATTATTTTTTTTTAATTTTTAAAATTTTATTTTTCTTACCATGGCTCTTAATGTTTTAATTTTTATTTTTTCAATTTATTTTTAAAACTAACTTCTATTCAAAGTGTTCAAATTTAAAAAATGACCAAATATAAACGTGGTGCATGAACTGGATGAAAAAACAAAAGACAAAATGTATGAAGTACATGTCTTATGAACCTTCCTCAATCCACATTAATCATAATACATGTCTGAACTGAATAGTGGAAACACATTTTTGCAAACAAAAAAGACAGTTCACTCATCATCAACAAACTTCCAAAAAATTATCTTCAAATAGATCCAAATCCTTGAGCAAGTCAAGATAAATCACCAAAAGGACAGCATATTGAGAAGGGCTTTGGCTTCTCTTGTTAAGTTTAAATAAATAATAAACCAAGGAGGTAAGTAATAAAAAGTAGAACAACTAAAATATTCTTTTTAATATTGCTGTGATGATAATATTTTATTTATCATGTTGATGATAATCAGATTTGTTTGGTCCCGATCTAATCTTATCACCTGTGAGAGAAGATAACATGAGTGTCTCTGTGGCAACGGTTTGGTGCCTGCCAAAGACCGTCCAACGCTAAGTTAGTAGTGTAGATGTAGAGAGAGGATAGAGATTGAGAGTTAGGATTTATGGTCTATACCTTGGCTTTTTATAGAGAGTCTTTGTCTTAAGCCACTAGTGGTGGTAAACCTCAATCTTGCTAACCGTGTGGACCGATTGATCTATCAAATCTGGACTTTAACTTATTACATATATATATATATATGACATGTATTTTATAATCGTTGTGTTGATTTAATTGATTCCTTATTTTTGTTTCAAAAACAATGAAGATATGATAATACAGTGAAAAATATGATGCTTTTTATAGAGAGTCTTTGTCTTAAGCCACTAGTGGTGGTAAACCTCAATCTTGCTAACCGTGTGGACCGATTGATCTACCAACTCTGGACTTTAACTTATTATATATATATATATATGACATGTATTTTATAATCGTTGTGTTGATTTAATTGATTCCCTTATTTTTTTTTCAAATACAATGAAGATGTGGTAATACAGTGAAAAATATGATGATGATAATAATGTTGTAGCATTATTGATGGCTATAATATGGACAAATCATGCTCCACGTCCTTTGAGAATTCAACCCCCCACACTTCACAAGACCGAAGAATATGAAAATGACTTCCTTCTTTGAAAAATCAAACACAAAGTTGAAATAATTTTATTACATGTATAATCACTTAATCATAGGGTGAATTTTGATGCAAAAATAAAGTTGTTCCATTGCCTCTGACATCACAGATTTAAATCATAGAAATAATCTCTCCAAACAAACAATAGGAGGGTCAATTTTGACTCTCTTCAAATTCTTAGTAGTGAAAGTCTCTACACTGAAACTGATAATTTTTTTTTTAAAAACTTTTACCTAGTCATTTAATCAAAACAATTACTAGTATTGCTATTGAACTTGTTGATTAGTAATTGTGTAAATAGGGTTTTAACCAAGTAGTTAAAAATTCAAGTTTAATTTGAAAACTTAAAAAACTTTAAGTTGTTTTTTCGAGTTGATCTCAATTGAGTTTTAATCGAGTTGAGTTCAAATAACTTAATTTTTTTTAAATTTTATAATACATGTAAATTTACCAAGTCCCAAGCATTTGGTTGTTCAAACTTGATTTTGACTTATTTACTTAACAATTTAATCTCAAACAATTTTTTTTAAAAAAAAATAAACACAAATAAAAATTTAGTTTTCATAGCTGTACTGTAGCTATGACAAGTGAAGGGAGTGATTTGTGGGAGGTGGTTGTTGACGATTGAAATTGGTGGCCGGAAGAGGTTGTTGGTTGCCAAATCTAGTGGCTGAAGGTGGTTCCCACTAGTAGGATGTTGTTGGTAGTGTGTTCAAAGCTAATTGTTAAATGCGGGAGGTGGTGGTCGAAAGTAATCGTTAATGGTCAGATATTGTAGTCAAAATTGATTTCCAACAGGTAATGATTGACCAAGAAGGTAATTGTCGAAGGGGGTCATCAACGATGGACATTGGTGATAGTGATAATGAACATTGGGTGGTGATGGGAAAAAATTTGAGAAAGAAGAATAGTAAAAAAAAAATTGCAAGTTCTTACGCTTTAATGTGGGAGACAGTGAACAACAAACAAAGGACACAGAGGACAAAGAGGAGGTAGCATAGCAGATGACCCCTTTGCCGCCCTCTGCCCCCAACTGATGATCTGTACAAAACTCCAAAACACAATTGCGGTTCAAAACGTACACTACTTTCACAGGCACAAAAAAAGCTTCTCTTGTTTTTATGACACGACAGAGAATTAAAAGTCTTTCATAATGAAGAGAGTAGTAGTGAAGTGACACATTCACATATACTTTTGTTTCATTTTTTGAACTTTGTATCTAAAATAGCTATATTGAATTGTTTAAATTTCTTTTAATTCTTTCAGATTTTGGGTAGTGGGGTTCGTTCTGTATTCCAATTAATTGAAAAGATGCTTCATATTTATGGGGGAAACAGATCAAATAAATGAGATGGTAATTCTCATGTATGAGGTTTGGTTGCTTCATATTTTTAAGAATTTTGGTTTGCATACTTGGTAAAGAGAGCTGCTAAGCCAAATCACAAGGTTTGCGTGGTTGAGATTTACTGGGATTTATGTATAGAATGAGTCCGTATCATTATATTTCTAGATAAAATTTCATTAAAAATTCTGAGTATTTAGAATTGTTGTCCTAGAAAACAAGACTAGAGTTACGTACACTTGTTTTTGGTTTGCACATTGTTTTAATGAGAGCTCTGTATACTGGATTGCCATTTTCAGTTTGCTTCTTGTTTTAACAGTAGTCTCTTGTGTATTGAGTCTCTCTTTTTGCCCTTTTTTCAGTTTTGCATATTTATATATGTATACTTGGTGAGAGATTAGTTCACCAGCATTTTGCACATATACTTTGTCTCCTGGTAGAGAAGGCCAGAGAATTATGGTGAATCTCTGGCTAATCAATCAGAGGCTGTTGATTTTATTTTAATTCTGAGATGGGTTTCTTTGTTCTTTGCAGCAAAGAAGGATCATAAAGCCAGAGACACTGGTGGATTTTTCGTTGTTGGGTTATTATTACTGTTCTTCCATATTGTTCCTCCAATACCAGCAATGGAGTCTTCCAAAGCCATAGAAGTTATAGAAGGATGTAGCAGCTGTGAGTCTGGATGGACAATGTATATTGCCTCCCCAATCCATGAAGATAATATTTATGATGATCATGATGACGGTGGTGATGGTGACGATGATCGTGGCACTGATAATAAGAAAGGAGATGACATCAACGACAACGATGATAATGAAAGCGATGATTCTATGGCTTCAGACGCCTCTTCTGGACCGAGTCATCGAGAACTTCCATATGGAAGTAGAAACGTAAGTCATGTATTGGATCATTCCAAGGACTTGAAGGGAAAAAACGGAAGTAAGTATTCATCTGACAAGAAAATATATGAAAAAAGGTTAAGGGCAGAGAACAAAGTGCCAGCGCCTAAAGCAAACAGTGGAGCAAAGGTAAGAAAAACCATCCAGATGGAGAGAAAATAGAATACTTTTAGGGCATGTGTGGTTGTGTTTTCGTTTTCTGTGTTTGTTTTTAGGAAAACACAAAAAGTTTGTTTGGCGAATTGTTTTAAAAAACTATTCTTGGAAAATTATCTTGAAAAGCTCACTTTTTGGGAAAGACCAAAAAGTTGGCTTTGAATTTTTGGAAAATATTTTCGCACAAAAATAAAAACAATGGGTGTTTTTAAATTTTTTATTTTATGTTTCCGCAAACACAACGAAAGCAAAATCACAGGCCCTAATATTCCTTTAAGATATCCTCCAAGATTCGTTGCATAGTTCTTCATCACATGATGTTTAATGGGTTACAGAAATCAGAGTGCACTTCATAGAAGCCTACTTCATTCTGTGGTTCTAATCTTTCAGTTTGAATGTAATCAAGAAATCTAATTGACAGTTAGCAGCTATAGCCCATGGATCAGTACATCATGAATGTGCAAATGTACAACTATGGTTTTATGTATTATATGCATGTCATATGCACAGCTTATGCATTTTGTTGTGTAGATGCCTGCCAATGCATGTGCCACTAGGAATACATATTACATGCTTGTTATTGGCATTAAGAGAGAGAGAGAGAGAGAGAGAGAGAGAGAGTAGGTATAGTTTGGTGGGGATTAGTTTGTGATACTATACCCGAAGGCAATGACGAGAAAAATAGAGGGAAGAATAATAACATATTGGTTGTCTATAGTTAACCTTATGTTTTCTGTCACATAACCTCAAGTACGAGTATGGGGTGTAGGTAAGTATTGAGGTATCAGATTTATCTACTTTTCATGTCAAAGACACCAAGGCATGGCTATATTTCAGATTTCTTTTGCATAGATATATGGTAAACTCGACTACTTATAATTAAGGATATAACTTGTTAAGATAGTTGTTAAACAAATTCATAACTTGTCAATACCAGCAACATCAACAGATCCATTTGAGGTCAGGAAGCTAATTTGTGGATTTGTATTTTTATGATGAACTCAGTTCCACAAAAGTAAGAGTTGAGGTATTATGCTATCGGTATGATCATACGATCCTGATCGTGATGCATGAAAACATTTTGATTTTGAAGTCAGCTCGACAAATTCTTCCTCTGTTATGATTATTATTATGCTTAAGTTGGTGAACTATCAGAGACCATGCCAGAGTTAAAATGTACCAGTGGAAGACATTAATAAGGTCAACTCAATGATGGTGTGCAACATATGTGTAACCAATATAATTACTTAAAACATTGTGCATACTAAACATGTTTTTTATTTTTATTTATTTATTTATTTATTTTTTGGGGGACTAGTCTGGCCACTGATGGTGGCGGTGGTGGTGTAACATGTTGCACAAACTTGGGTTGGGTGCTTGGCACTGCAAGCCAGTTTGGGGAATTTGTACCACCTCAGTACTCGCACTTCTTGAGCACTTGAAGGGTGTGTTTGATTCGCCGGATTAAGGGGGGACTATCCACTATTTGGATTGTAATTCAAATAGTGTTCCTTATCCGCCGTTTGATTTTTTTTTAGTCCGCCGGACTCCATGTCCGGCCGGACTCCTTATCCCCCATATGGGGGATTCCACTGTCCGAGGGGGGTGGGATAATTTTGGTAGGATTATTCACTGTTTGGATTAGAGGGGTGAGATGACCATTTTGCCCTCATTATATATATTTTGTGTCCTCTGTAATTGTGAGTTCAAACAAAGTAAAATTTTTCTTTGTTTCAGAGTAAAATTTTACTTTAGTTTCAGAGTGTAAAATTTTACTTTCAAACAAAGTAAAATTTTTCTTTGTTTCAGAGTAAAATTTTACTTTAGTTTCAGAGTGTAAAATTTTACTTTCAAACAAAGTAAAATTTTTCTTTGTTTCAGAGTAAAATTTTACTTTAGTTTCAGAGTGTAAAATTTTACTTTCATACAGAGTAAAATTTTACTTTGTTTCAGAGTGTAAAATTTTACTTTCATACAGAGTAAAATTTTACTTTCATACAGAGTAAAATTTTACTTTCATACAGAGTAAAATTTTACTTTGTTTTAGAGTGTAAAATTTTTACTTTCATACAGAGTAAAATTTTACTTTAGTTTCAGAGTGTAAAATTTTACTTTCATACAGAGTAAAATTTTATTTTCATACAACCTCATCATTTTTCTTCTCCACTTCCAATTGAGCCATCTCCACCACACTCCGAATCTCCCCCATCTGCTCCGAAACCCTAGCTTTCAAATTTTTGTTCATTTATACATTGTTGGTGTGTTATGTTGGACATTTATGGAGTGGTGGAGTATATAATTTTTGTTCATTTATGGAGTGCTGTTGTGCTGGATATAAGACCATGAAGTGCTGGTGTGTTGTGTTGGAGAAATAATTTTTTTGTGTTGGATAAAAATTAGAAGGGACATGGTCTTATTTATATTTAAAAAATGTGACCATTAAAAAATATAAATATTGGAAAAATATATGTTTCGAACTTTGAAAAAAAAACAATGGTTCTAAAAAAAAAACATTGAAAAAATTAAATAATTAATTGTGGTCCACTAATCAATTATAAATAAAGATTACATTTAAAGACAGATTTAATATTGTTATTTAGTAAACACTTGAAAAATGGTAAAATAGTCTTTTGTTCATTTATTCTATCCAGTCATCTAATCCCATGAAAAAACAAACATTGCATTCACTGAAAATACATATCCAATCCGACCAAATAGTCCGGGGGATTCACAGTCTCAGGACTCAAGTCCGATGGATTCTAATCCCTCCTTTTCCAGTCCGTCCAATCAAACACACCCGAAGGGTGCTAAGATGCATGTATGAGCTGTCACGGGAACGGTTGAGCAGCCTGTGACAGTGGGGAAACACCCTAGCTGATATAGGAACTAACATCCAGAACCAGAAACCCAGGGTTGAGAGGAATCTGCTTCAAGGTGGCAAAGTGAAACGTTTTTTAGTTCAGGGGAGTAACACTGACTAACAGTTTTAAGGGGTGAAGCGTAATTTGCCCCTTTCATTAAGAATAGAGCTGCATAGACACAGGCTGGCGCTCAAACTGACAATGCCAAAGTCAGATGCCTAAGCTATCCCACAACTTGTCAAATCTCCATTTCAGCAAAAGTTATGCTCACCAAAAAAAAAACAAAACAGATTTTTGAGTGACTTGAGCATCAAAAATTAATCGAGTCACAAGTCTGAAAACAATCAGTGGACAGATATACCAACAATTTCACACTAAATGGAAAAAACACAAACGGAAAGGGGGAAAAATGAAGAGGAGGAAAGCACCAAATAAAGAACATCAAAAGTACAATATTTCACTTCAACAAGCACTAAATGAAAATTACTAGCTCCTCAAGTCAAATGGAAAACATATATGCTCTTATTTCTGTAAAAGGTGGTTCAAAATGTCAAAGGATTGGATCCTTTAATACAGAATAATAAAACTACAAATATTCCCGGATACATTCCCAAGAGAAACAGAAATAGAATGATCTCCAGAAGCATTACCATAATTGAAAACTTAACTGCAGAGAAATGACAAACAACCCCACATAAACAGCAGAGACAAATATCCATTTTCAGTCTGAAAAAGGAAACATTATTAGGTTGACAACAATGATTCGATGTGATAGAAAACTACCACCACAAATCAGATCTTTGACTGTTTGGCGATCTTGAACCATTCAGTATGGAAAGACCCTGACATATCAATCCTCTCATAAGTATGAGCGCCAAAGTAATCCCTTTGAGCTTGGACCAAATTAGCAGGCAGTCGTTCCCTCCTGTATGTGTCGAAATAAGCAAGACTAGAAGACATACCAGGAGTGCTAATGCCCGAGTTGATCGCAAGGCATACAACTCTTCGCCAAGCAGATTGTCGATCAATCATCTCCTTAGCAAACTCCGGATCCACAAGAAGGTTCGCGAGATCTGGGTTTCTGTCGTAGGCCTTCTTAATGCGGTCCAAAAATATAGCACGAATAATGCAACCCCCCTTCCAAATCCTAGCCAATTCCCCGAGTTTCAAGTCCCACCCTTGCTCTACGCTCTTTGCCCGTATCAAATTCATTCCTTGAGCATAACTACAAATTTTGGATGCATAAAGTGCTTGTCTCACATCATCAACCAACTTCTTCTTATCAACAATTTGGTCGGTGAGGATATCACCCACGCCACTGGATTGGAAGACCTTCGCAGCTTGAACTCTTTCATCTTTCAACCCACTGAGGAATCTTGAATCCAGAGATGAAGCGATAGTTGGTGCTGGCAATAGACAGCTCAGCAGCTTGCTGAACCGTCCATTTACCAGTACCCTTCATGCCAGTTTTTTATCCAGAACCTTGTCTACCAAATGCCCATCTCCCTTATCATCCTTAATTGAAAATATATCTGCGGTGATCTCGATCAAGAAGCTTAGAAGCTCCCCCTTGTTCCACTCTGTGAAAACCTCGTGCAATTCCTCATTAGAGAGCTTGCCAGCTGATTTCAGAACATCATAGGCCTCTGCAATCAGTTGCATATCACCGTATTCAATCCCGTTGTGAATCATCTTGACAAAATTGCCAGATCCACCTTTCCCAATATAAGTAACACAAGGGCCACTATCAGGAACCTGAGCAGCCACCTTAAGAAGGATATCTTCTATGTACTTGTAAGCCTCGAAGGAACCTCCAGGCATCATAGAGGGTCCATGACGAGCACCCTCCTCACCACCTGAAACTCCCATTCCAAGATAAAGCAGACCCAACTCAGCCATGGCTTTCGCTCTCCTCTCGGTGTTCTCATACCACTCGTTACCGCCATCAATAATGCAGTCTCCTTTTTCCATGTAAACAGACAGGGTTTTGATGGTTTGATCAACAGGTGCACCAGCCTTAACAAGCATTATTATAACACGAGGTTTTTGGATTGAGTTAACAAAGGATTCAGGATCATGAAAGCCATACAAAGGAAGATTTCCTTCCAGTTTGGCTCGTTCAACGGTCTCATCAACTTTTGAAGTGGTCCGGTTGTAAACAGAAATAGGGAATCCTTTCTCAGCAATGTTGAGAGCAAGATTTTGGCCCATAACAGCAAGGCCAGCAAGACCAATTCTTGTTGGGGTAGCCATTTCTTAACCCTGTTCAAAGTATATCAGATTATTAATGGATGGATAGATCCGAGAACCATTGAAACAACAACAATAATTTGGTAGTGAATTGCATTGAAAAAGGGACAGTGTATACAATCAAAGAAAGAATTATAGAAGAAACAAAATAAATCTCCGAGGTTTCCTTGAAAATGAGTCCAATCCAATGAATGCAACCCAAAAGGCAACAATTATAAAAGCAGGACAGATCAAAAAACGGGGGAAAAGGAAAAATAAATAAATAAATAAAATAAGAAAAGGGCATAAGATCACCATTTTTTGGAAGAAACTGATTTGATTTAAACAAAGAACAAAATACTAGGTTCGGTCCTTTGCAAATAGAAAGCCAGAGGTCCAATTTGGATTCGTCTGCTGGGACGCTTAAAATGCCAATGATTTTAGGATTGAATCTGAATTCCACTTTTCATAGTCCTCTCTTTGCATTAGGGGTGAGCAGCGGATATACCGATTCGCCAAAACCGACCAAATCGAACTGATCCGCCGCATTTTGGGCGGATGCGTGATGACAAGCGGACGGTTGCGGATTAATTTTCTTCAATCCACCAATCTGGCAGACGGATGGTGGATTTGAGATTCCTTTGGCCGCAACCGAACCGTCAAACCGCAAACACCCCTAGTAATTTATAAGACTTTGTGTTTTCAATTTGTTTAAATATTCTGTTTGCGTTTTCAATTAAAAAAGAGTTTAAATATTCTGTTGAAAAAAAGTTTTCAACTTGAATATTTTTTTTTAATTGAAAAAAATTAACGTATTATTTATCTATATTTTTTGGTTTTTAAATCTATCTTTAAAAATAATAAATAGAAAACATGATATATGCTGGTTGGTTTTGTTTTCAAAAACAGATATAGATGTAACAATACAGAGATATACAATCTCTACTACTGTTCTGTTCATGGTTTTGGTGGTTTGAATTGTTTTTATATTTTAAGAACCACAGATTGTAATACTTTATGTGGATGAGGTACGCTGTGATTATAGTATATGGATGATACATGCAGTGATTGTGATATTCTAAAGTTTCAAACTTTTTTGCTTTGGATGAGGCATGCAGTGATTGTAACATTTTTCTAAGTCATTAACTGTAATACTTTCTTTTCTTTTTTTTTTCTTTTTTTTTTTGAGGAAGTGCACAAGTTGAATTATGTTGAAAATTATAAAATTTTAAGCCGCCAAACCTATTCGCATCCATCCGCCAAACCGCTAATCCGTTTAATCCACATCCGCCGGATTAGTGGACGGATGCGGATTGATTTTCTCCAATCTGCCAATCTTGCGGACGGATGGCGGATTAGGGGTTTCGTGGCCGCAACCGACCCGCGCCCACCCCTACTTTGCATTATAATTGAACTTTAAGTTCTAGATATTTCAAATCAGCAAAAAAGTAACAAGGAGAAAACAAAGATACAATTCTACAAAATCAGTTTTCCAAATTAACTCCAATTTGCACAAGCAAGAGCAAACTCAAATTCAAGGACCAGTGTTATTCATTATACATAATGAAGGAAGAATGCAATCCAAATAAAAGACACCCAATAAGCAAAATCCCATAAAAAAGAACAGTTACATAGTTAAATCCAACAGCAACAAATCACAAAAGTAAAGGGGCATTTTCTCAGAAAAAGGCATCGTGGGTAATATAAATGAATGCAAAAAGGAAGTAACTTTTAGGTTGTATCTGGCTTTGAAACGAAAGGAGGTTGCTTACTAATTCTTTCAAGAAAAATAGCTTAAATTAGATTTGATAGTTTAGATATGGGTTTTATGATTGAATTGAGAGCTTTGTCACAATGGATTTGAAATATCAATCCAAAATAAAAGTAGTTATTTCAACTTTTTCACACTAAAATTGTGTTTGAATCAAACATTTGAGTGGAGATTTCAGGAGGGAAAAGGAAAAGAATGGAAAAAGTAATTAAAATTATTCCCTCACAAATCCATTCTCAAATCCTCTGGATCCAAAAAACAGCCTGCGTGTTCTAGTTCTACAAGATCCCAATACATTACTTCTCTTTCTCTTTTTAATTTATCTTCCTAGTTTCTCAATCCACCTATAATAAGTTTAACCTCCTACAACATCAAATCTTTCATTTGAAATCCATCCATCCAAACAGATTGTTAGATCCTATATTAACAAGTAATAAAGAACTTCAAATCAAAGCAGCCAATAAAAAAATAATCTTTTATATTTTTTTCCCAGCAAGTGCAGTAACAAACACTTCAAATCAAGGTTGATCATACAAAACAGAACATATTAGAAAATTAGAACAGAATTGAAAGCATATAATCTAGCATTGATCAGAGACCAAGAAATCAAATAAACTGAATCCAAATAATTAACTGTTAGTAGTACCTCTCAGAAAAACTACGGAAAGTTGTTGAATCGGATTCCTACCCAGAAAAGTTTGAGATCTGGGTTTTGAAGAAGAAGAAGAAGGGTTTGGTGAAAAGTGAATAATTTATGAAAATATGAATGTCTTTCTAAAATATATATCTATCTACACCAAACCAAACACCACAGGCTTTGGGGAGAGAGTTGGAGAGTCGTCTCTCTCTCTCTATCTCTCCCACGCGCACTATTTTGACACGCAGGTCAAATACGGCTTAGCGGCAGCCCATCTCTCTCTCTCATTCGTTGATTTGTCATTGTGACATGTGTGTTTTTGCATATTTGCAAATGGTCCCCTTTACTTCTCTAAATTTTGTTCCTATCCCGTTTTTCCACTTTTCTTTCACTGATACCTCTCTTAGGCCATGTTAGTTATCCCTCCTCAGTGGTATAATTAGAGTGATAGTGAGGTTAGATCTATGAAAGTATATTTGGTTAAGGATATTTTTGAGTGGATTAATAGTCTAGTCGAATTGACAATCCTCTATGTAACCGAATTAATAAAGTTGGAGAATGTATTGAAGTGGGATAAAATTAACTAAGTCTTGGTGTTTAGCCCAAAGCCGGACCTGCACCAGTAGGGGAGCTAAGTGCTCGGCCCAGTGACCAAACACTTGCTCCTGATCAAGACAATCAAGGTAGCTCGGCCCAATCCGAAATGGACCGAGCAACATGTTGGACAAACAACCACTCCGAAGTGGGCCAAGCAACATGTTGGACAACCACTCTGGAGTAGACCAACTTAAAGAGGGCCAATTCACTAAAGATCTTTCTTAGGTTCACAAGAGACAAATAACTCTACTCCTCTCCCTCTGTCTGAACAGAACGTGGAGACACGGAGGTACAGAGGGACAAGGCACACACATGATAAACCTGCATCTGAGTGTCAGGTGGAGTGGTCATCCTCCTCCAATAAGAGACGACCACTAATGAGACAAATAAAATAGACCTGCATCCGAGTGTCAGGCGGAGTGGTCGTTCTCATCTAATGGGAGATGACTACGAATAAAACACATTAGACAAATGGCGGAACGAGAAAGTCTTGAAGGACAAACAACATTCTCTTATAAAAGGTGAACACTATTCACTCTCAAGGGATCGAAAATCCACACACTTAACATATATACATTCTTTGCATTCTCTCTTCTTCCTTTCCCCGAGTCCCTGACTTCCTTCTCTTATAAAAGGTGAACACTATTCACTCTCAAGGGATCGAAAATCCACACACTTAACATATATACATTCTTTGCATTCTCTCTTCTTCCTTTCCCCGAGTCCCTGACTTTACCATCCGAGGGGTTTCCGACCAAACCCCAATCGGACAGCCTCACCGCTTGTTACTCTGTGCAGATCTTCAATTCTCATACCACGCTGTTTATTCACGAAGTTCAACCTTTCTTCATAGTGCGGAAATCACCCTCGTACATATATGAGATTGTAAAAATAGTGAGGGAATTAAGTGCTATTTTTTTTTTTTACCCAACCATTTATTTGTATTAAAAAAATTATATTTGTTTTAGGATTTTTTTAATATAGAATTTTTTTTAATTTTGTATAAAAATAATTTAACGATTTCATCACTAATCATCCCTTCCACTATCATTAAAACAAGCACACTTTTACTTAAACCCTTTACTAACAATCTCCACATTAACAATTTCTCTTCACTAACCATTTCCTCACTAACAATTACATCCAGCCTAATCCGCCAAACAAACGTAACCTTAATGCTTTTGACCTTCTGGTCTCGTTTGTTTGACAGATTAGGTTAGATGGGATTAGTAATACGATGGGATTGAGCGATAAGATTAGTATTGAAGTGGTATTAAGTTATTGATGAAAGATAAATAGTGTTTGCTCGTATACCACTAGATTAGTAATACCATGCCAATTTGTTAATTGTTTTGTCATCTTTAAATATGATTAATATGTAGAATCAATTAAAAAAAATCATTACTTCATCATCTTTCCAAAAAAATAAAAAAATAAATCTATAGACTCATTTTTCAATCCCACCACTCCTACAAACTAGATTAGTCCGGCCACTTAGCAGGACTGTAAATCCCACTGAAGTGTTAATCCAACACTTATTTTTACAACCAAATATGACATCAGTAAGATCCACAGCCATTCTAATCCAATCATATCCCTCACGCAGGTAAACAAAGAGGACCTCTGATTCATAGGTCTAACATCTTTCATAAGATTTTGGGATGTTTGGTGCATGTGTGTTAAATTGTTAATTATAATTTTTACTTGTAATTTATTAAGGAAAAATAATATAAATTAATTAAATTTAAATTAATTATTTGAAAGTGGGAGAAACTTTTGACTGCTTTTTTACAATTATCAAATTTTAATTTACAAAACGTTATTACCAAACATGCAACTTGTATTGCATGATAAGGTGAATTGAAAGGGCATAATAAAAAATAAAAATAAAATTCTGATAGCTACGTACAAATTTTGATGATATTGTAGAATTTCAATGTTGAAAATGTTTATAAAAAAATAATAATTATATCAAGGCTCCCTTTGGGAACAATTTAAAAAAATCCGCTTTTATTTAAAAAGCGAAAAAGGCAACAAATTAATTGTCATGATTTAAAAAAAAAAAAATCAAATGTCACATTGCTTTTTTTGTTTAAAAAAATAAATTTTTTAACAAAATTTTAAATATATTAACTAAAAAAATTAAAAAATAACTTTAAATATATTAACTAAAAAAATTAAAAAATAACTAAAATAGAGTTATGTTGGTCAATTAAAGGCACCAAATTACGTGCATTTTCTCAACATAAGAAATCATGAGAATAGAGTTATGTTGGCCAATGAACCCCTGTTTGGGAATTATGGTTTTTAGTTAAAAAAATTATTTTTTTTTTATAAATTGTCGCATTATTCTATTTATCTTTATATATATATATTTTTGTAAAATGTTAAAAAATTAATTAAAATAATCAATTTTTAAGCGAGGTCTAAATAATTTATTTTAATAAAAATTTAGGACGCAAAATATTCAGATTGTTTGGTTTTGGTTTTCAGGAAATATTTTTAAAAAAATTCTACTTTTTTATTTTATGTATTTTTCTTCAATTAATTTTTTTAATATTTTAAGCAAATTTTTTAATTTTTAGACACACCTAACATAAATATACTTAAAAAAGATAATATTTGTGAAATTGTTTTAAAAAAAATTCAATAAATACCAAAAATATAAAAAAAAAATACAAAGATTTAGTACATTTTTCATATTTTTATGTATTAATTAATTTTTTAAAATATTTATCACAAATATTTTACTATTTAAATACATTTAAGTAAGGTATATCTAAAAAAGTAAAAAAAATGCTTAAAATTTTAAAAATATTCACCAAAAGAAAAAAATACGAAAAAAAAAATTAATTTTTAGAAAACTAAAACCAAACACACTGATTATATTACTCATGTACAATCTGACACCAGATTTTTTTTTTTTTTTGCTTTCTGATTTTTTAATTAATAAATTAAGGATAAATTACACTTTACCTTTTTTAAGTTTGAAAGTTTGATCATTTTTTCAATTTGGTTCTTAAAATTTGCTTTTTTTCCTTTTTTGGCCCTTTACGTTTCAATTTTTTTCAATTTACTCTTAAAGTTAATTTCTGTTTAAAATTAAATAGAAAATACCATAATAATTGTCACATAATAAAATATATCTTATTATATTATAATTTAAGTTTATATCTAAGTCATATATAATAAAATATTTCTATGTTATGTAATTGTTAATGTGTCATTTTTATGTAATTTTTAATAGAAATTAACGTTAAGAGTGAAGAGAAAATTAATTGAAATATGAAGAGTCAAAGTGAAAGAAAAAAAAAATTAATTTAAAATAAAAAAAGTGATTAAGGCCAAGTTTGGCACATTGTAAAAAAGCAAAAAGTCAAAAAAGTTACTCAAAAAGTTAAAAAATTAATACTATTCACCAAAAGTCAACAATTACGGCTGCACAACTCCCAATTCTAATTTTTTCCTACAAATCAATTTTTACAATTTTATATTACACATTTTTTCATAAAAAATCAAAAGTTAACCCGAACATCCATATTTTTTTCCTCAATTTTTTAATTTAAAAAGACAAAAAATATACTTATTTAGAACACCTTAAACAATTCCTAGTTTGACTAACCTAAAAAAGTGCACTTATTTCATCTTTTTATCTTTTTTGAGTCACATCAATCAACATCTCCTTTCTACTTTTTCTATACATAATATAAAAAAAAATCAAAAAATACACTTATTTAGTCTTCCCAAACTTGGCCATATGAAAAGGATAAAATATAATTTATTCATTAATTTTTTATTCTTTATATAGAAGAAGCACAAGTAGGTTGGTGGCTGGCGGGTTAGGTGAAGAAAATATATATAATAATTAATTAATAAGGTATATTGATTGTGTTGCAGCATTCACGCGCTTGTACAATCGTATGGGCAATTTTAATTTTATTTATGCCCTTGTTTGTTTTTGTTTTTTTTTTTTTTAAAAAAAAAATTTGTAGATGGGATGCCCTTGTTTATTTTAACGAAAATATATATATTTTTGGGAATTTTTTTTAAAGGTCCCTAATATTAAAATTTTATAGCATAAAGGGCATTCAATATTTTAATAATGTCTAAAGTCCCTCAAGTTGATTCAGAGAAGATTTACGTCACAGAAAAAATTGGTCCAGAGAAATTTTGGGAAGAATTTCTCTGGACTTTCCAATTTCTCTGACCTTCCCTAAACTTCCCACTGTAAATTTCTCTACCCTCTCCTTTTCCAAATTTCTCTGCCTTCCATATAATTTCCACTCTCCCAGAGAAATTTCTCTGTCTTTTCACAAAATTACATCACTAGAAAAATTTTAAATTTCTCTACCCTCCCTGCCTCTCCTGGACTCAACACTTAAGAGAAATTTGAAAATTTCTCTAACTTCACCGGCCTTCAATTGGTCAAAATGAATCTATAGAAATTTGAAAACTCAGAGAAAATTGATCAAAATGAACCTAGAGAAATTTGAAACTTAGAGAAAATTCCCTTCTAACTTAGAGAAATTCACAAACCTCCTTAAACAGTACCTTTCACTTTGAGGAAAAAATAACAGAAATCAAAGTCTTGAAATGATTGAACAGAGAATATGAATATAAATACTATG